CCCCCCCCCCCCCCCGGGAAAGCAGGGAGTTTCAGGCACATAGTGAGGACAGCTGGGCACACACACTGCGAACACATGGTGGGAAGAGCTGCACACACACGCCCGGCCCCGTCTTCCTACCTCTCCCACGTATTCCATGACGAAGCTGTTCTTCCGAATCTTCTCCAGTGTACGGACACCCCAGCCACGCCCATCATCCGTGCGGAAGATGCAGAGGTCATAGCAGATGCCTTTCTGTACCACACGATTGGGGCAGTCACAGCCGCAGCGGCAGCGGGAGTTGCACTCATAGATGGGCAGCCCCGCTCGAAGCCTCACCTGGCCCTGGTCGTTATAGGCAAACTTGTGCAGTGACGCCCCCGGGCAGCAGCCTCCAGTGGGTGCCCACAGACAGTCCTGGCATTCACAGCCCACGGCTACCTGGTTGAGGGTGATGCCTTCACCAACACGGTACTCATTGATGTACACAAAGGCCCGTGGGGGCCCTTCCAGGTCCACCTCATTCTCCACGGTGATGCGCCCCTGATGGCTGCGCTTGGCATTGAGCTCCCGCTCCCAGCTCTGGAGTGCCCGCCTCTGCTTGGCCTTCTGCACCAGGTAGTTGGCCAAGCTTGGGTCCAGGTGCCGGGGGATCTTTGACCGGTGGTACCGCCGGAGCAGCTCCCTTTCTAAGTCCTTGTGGAACTGCTTGAGAATGCGTATACACTTAAGATTCTGCCGTGGCTCCCAAGTGCTCTCTGAGTCTGGGTAGCCACGCCACTTTACCAGGTAATATTCCTGCTCCTGTTGGGGTAGGGGTCAGAGGAATGGGAGCACCATAAATGGTGAGATCCTTGGGCCAGCCTTCATGGGGCTTCCATCCCAAAGCTGACACATAATATCCACCACTCCCCACCCCCTTTCTGAAATGACTCCATGTCGTGGTTAAAAAGCATGGGCTCTGGAGTGAGGATCACTAGGTTCAAATCTTGCTCTCCCTTTAGTATCTGTCCAAATTCCAACTTTTGATTTAATCTTCCAAACCCGCTCCCTCCTCTGTCTACCTCATCACCTGTTCCCTCCTATCTATTCAGGCCCAAGCTCCTGGGGTCATCCTAGATTCTTTTGCTCACATTCCCCACATACACTCTCCATACATCCTGTCAGCCCTGCCTTCAAAATACATCTACATCTAGAATCAGACCCCTTAAAACCATCCTCACTGCCACCATCATGGCTAGCCTGGACCCTGACAGAGCCTCCCTACTGGACCCTGCTTGCCCCCTACAGGCTGCTTTCTTGTCTTTTTTTTTTTTTTTTTTGAGTTGGAGTCTCACTCTGTTGCCCAGACTGGTCTAGAACCCCTGAACTTAGGCAATCCTCTTGCCTCGGGCTCCCAAAGTGCTGGGATTACAGGCTTGAGCCACTGCGCCCAGCCAGGCTGTTTTCTACACAGCAGCCAGGCGGAACTGACTGGTGGCTCTAGGATAGAGATGTTTTTGTTTTTTGTTTATTGTTACAGTAGAGCTCTTTTGTCCAGGCTGGAGTGTGTCCCGGCTGGATGCAGTGGCACAATCACAGCTCATTGTTGTCTCAATCTCCTGGGCTCAGGCAATCCTTCTGCCTCAGCCTCCTGAGTAGCTGGGACTACAGGCACACGCCACCATGCCCAGCGAACTTTTTTTCTTTTTTTCATAAATATGAGGTCTCACTACGTTGCCCAGGCTGGTCTCAAACTCCTAGGCTCAGGCAGTCCTCCTGTCTCAGCCTCCTAAAGTGCTGGGATTACAAGTGTGAGCCACCACGACCAGCCTAGGGTACAGTTTAACAGCAGTCTGTCTTCATTTAGACACCTAGGTACAAATCCTGAATCTGCCATTCCCTAGCTGTATGGCCTTAGGTAAGTTATTTAACTTTGCTGGGCCTCAGTTTCCTTATTTGAAAATAAGAAAATAGCTAACATTTTTCTAGCATTTATTATGTAACAGGTTCTAAGTAACTTACATGCATTAATAACCAATATAACCCTCACAGCTTTATAGAAGGTACATACTATTGGTCATCTTCATTTTACAGATGAGGGAAATGAAGTACTGAGAATCTGAGTATGTAGCCTGGGGTTACACAGCCAGGATATGAACCCAAGCATGCTGGCTCCAGTCTGTTCTCTTAAGTATCTTGCCATTACCTCCCCTCTGTTCCTACTTCACAGTTATTAGAAAGACTGAATGAGTTTTTGAGAGGACATGTCTGACACACTGAAAGTGCTGTTAGCTGTCAACATCTCCACTCCTTGGCATAGCATCTCAATCTCTGCAATTGATTTGTACTCCTTGGGAGGTGGAAAGAAAAATGTATTTGGGGATTTAGTTTGGCTCCTGCCTCAGAAAGCCACTTAGTTTCCCCATCTGTAAAATGTGGACAAAAAGATCTATTCATCCTATTTTTTCAGGATCAAAGGAGAAAATTCCCTTTGGAAATAGATGCAGGCATTGGAGAGCACGAGGGCAGGAAACCAATTTCCTTGAGACCTGCTCCCCCTCCCCCCCGCCTGAGCATGGTCACCCCAGACTCACTCGGATCTTCTTGTAATCACACAGGTACTCGACTTCAAAGTCATAGAGGTTCCTCTTAGAGATACCAAGGGCGGGGCAGGACAGCTTGGCCATTCTGCACAGGTCCTGCAGCTGATTCCAAGAAGACTTACAACACACGTTACAGCCTGGAATGGAGGGGGATGCGGGGGCGGCGGAAAGAACTATTACTGGGCAGCCTGACCAGGCCAGGGGTGAAAGGGGACCCCAAATCTTCTATGGGACATCACCAAGACTGCCTGAGAGTCAGGGACCTTTACTACCTGGGCTTCCACAAAGCTGAGACTCTCCTGCAACAGAAATGTGTCACTTCCTTGAACCCCAATGCTCATTGTCCAAGGCTACCCCTGGAACATCAGACCTCAAAGTAGGATTTCTGCATGGATTGTCCTAGAGGAATCTGTTCCCAAAGTTTCAAATTCCCTCTATACTATTCCTAAAACTGCCTGCAAACCTGCCTGGGGTTCAGGACCTGATCACCCTTCTCCTCACTTTGCAAAACAAAGAGAACCCCCTATCTCAGCAGGATGCACTGCCCTGGGGGGGAGGGGATGAGATTAAAACCTCCAGGGCACCAAACAAAGGCCTAACTAGAAAGACAGGTCTTTAATCTTTTATCTGAAACTCCTGGGCCAGATGTTTTTTGAAATTCAAAATTGTTTGGATTTTACAAGGAGAGTTCTAGAATATTCCATATATCACCTATCACCCCAGCATGGTCAGGGGACTCAAGCTATAATCAAACACATTTACAATCCTGCAGCAAAAATATGAATTTTCCACATTAAGTAAAAGAAATAAAAACGTAAAATAGCCTCATGGAATAGTCCCAGTTTATAATCTACTTTTGCCATGAACGGTGCCAAATTTAAGAAAATATTTCAGTTTTCAGGTCTTTTGGGATTTTGGAATTATGAATAGGAGATTGTGGAATGATACTACATTACAGGAAGGTTTCTTGAATGATCAATATAGGTGCTTTAAACCCACAAGGTATATTTTTTCATGCTGTATTTTGATTCTCTGTCTCATCCACATCTCTGTGAAGGGTAAAGTTCGTCGAATGGGATATCCTCTGAATTCAGGAACACACAAAGCAGTACAGGTTAGTGACATCAATTCTTTTAAATATACCTGGAATATTTCTGGGACTGCCAAGGCATATCCCTAATTAATGTGCTTTAGAAGCCATTTTATCAAATCGTGTCACAAAACATGCCAAGTGTAGTCAGTCCTCATCCTATTTCATCTTTTAAAAATATTTAATATTTTCTACCTCCCATCACAAACATCAAACTTAAATTCATGATAAAATACTCTAGATGTCAACCTAAAAACGTACAAGAGCTTTCCAGAATTATTTGTGTGCAACGTCCCCCTTCAGCCACCAGGCAAGGCCTAGTGGAGACTGAGCCTAGTCTGCGCCCACGCTTTCCTCTCCCTACTAGCCTCTCCCTTGCAAACCCCCTAAGCTGCATGTGAATCTCAAGTGGTCTCCACTAACATCTCCAGCTGCTGGCTATGCACTGGCCACAGCTGGACTCTCCTACCTCCGAGGTGCCCTTCGCACTTGTGGAGCCCATCCTTCTCCACGGCTTTACTCACACAGAGGAGCCCCCTAACATACTGAGTCACCCCTCTTACCCTGCACATGGGAGAGTGCAGCTATCCTGTTGAGGCCCCATTTCCCTCTTCTGGGGGAGCCTCTACGCCAGACCCGTCCCTTGCACCATGCTGAGAAGAGGCACTCTCCCTCCTGAAGAGTCCCCCGTCCCCCCACTTTGGTGGGGGGGGTCCATCCCTCTTCTCTTCCCTCCCCTTCCGGCATCTCGCGTGGACACCGAACGGGTAACGGTCACCGGGTGCCGATTTTCCCGCGCGCGGGCGCGGCCTCCCGGATAAGCCCCTGCGCGT